TACTTTTTATATTCTACTTCATTTTACTTTTATTTTTCTCATTATTTAGATAGTTCATTTTTCACTTTAACAATATATATATTTTTTTTCAATGACTGGTATATATCTTGTTTTATTAGGTTATCTTTGCACAGCATGTACAAATTTGTATTTACAAATTTACCACCACTAATTTCTAAATAGAACTACCTAATATTTGGATTATTCTTATTTACTAGTCGACTTATTGCCCTCCATTCTTCCTATATTACCAGCACCGGAGTCCTGATAATATAGGTAGATTGCTAATGTGTCAGGAAGTGTACCTTCTAGTTCCATTCACCATCCGATAAATGGAAACTCGAAGAACCGTATCCTAATACGATTAGCTGTGGATTAAGCCATATCCAACAAGGAGTCTTTGTGGCTCTAGCTTTGGTCACATGAAAACTTGGGTTGTTTCTTTTATAGTCTTGTGAATTAAAGAAGTAAGAAAGCATACTCCATACATAAGAAATGGGAAAAGTACCAAACTTAACAATGATCATTATAACACTGCTGGACAATCATTATGCTGCTATACCTTTTCTTGGTATCACAATTCCAACACCTATTGAATCAATATGTGAATTGGCTTCTTATGAGAAACAGTGCATATTATGTTATGGCACCAGATATCATATTGAGACGGTTCAATTGCCTTTACCTGGAACTGGACTTGATATCTTGTGATGGCGATTAAAAGATGCCAATCTTTTTCTTCTAATTTGAGGTTTCCACATTAGCCCTCTGGAGAATTTGAATCACTATCTTGTGATCTGACCTGCGAAGCACTAACCACTGTGCTATAGACCCACAGGTGATTAATATAGTTCTATATTGTAATATATATAAATATATGTAAATATTAATCTTAATAAAGTTTGTTAAGCAAAAAAAAACTCTTTCTACTGATCTCTTTGCCAACACAAAAAACAGATATTCCAAGGAAATTTTTATATTTCTTTGTAATAAAGTCTATACACTTTCATTAACAACACTTATATTAAGAGACTATAATTTCTCCCACTTGTTTTTTTTTTCTTTGACATAAACTTCTTGTATTTTTGCAAATAAATATAAGAAATATCTATTTATAAAGTTAAAGGCAAGAAAACTTTGTTAAAAAAAATAACCTATAGAAAAAACACTCTCTTCTCTTCCTTCAAAGATTTAAGACTCTAGAAAAGACTAGTATAGGTTTCTAGAACTCTTCTCTTATCTTTTTCAAGCTTCCCTCCTATTTTTTTAAATGTATAAACTTTTTTTCTAATTTTTTTGAAGAATTTTGCCTACCTCAATTTAATTCTGAATTCTTGGTTATATCAGAATCTTGAATAGTAATTGGCTCAAATCTTGAACTGGTTAATCTATATGTAGCAAGAAATATAAACAAAACATGTAACTCCCATGTATCCTATCTTATACAATATAAAACCCAATAATATAATTGGATATAATGAAAAGAGCAAGATGATAAGATGTCTTTTTTGTTAAAAAGTGTTATAGTGTTTTCCTCTCTTTTCTTGAACTGGTTTCTTTTCTCTTCAAAATCAAAAAAAGTTATATTCTAATTCAGTAACAAGCTTTCTCTGTTATTGATTATCCTGAAAATGTTTGGAGAAAAGAGTTTTAAAATTATTCACTAGTTGAAAAAAGCTATAAATCCTTGGAAATTAGACTGGAAAAAAAATTGCCAATTGAAATACTAAACTTCTCTAAAGGTTAGAAGTCTTTAAATATAAAATTTCAAGAATTACTTTTCTAGAAGTGCCTTTAAATGTTTTTGGTTAACAATGGAATAGTGAAAATTAAATGGTTTGCCTAGCTGCAAGTGGTGGTAAAGGATTTATTTCAATAGACTAAAGTTAATATTGAAGGATTTTTATTTATTAGAACAAACTCTTTAACTATTCTTTTAATTTCTCTTTATTTTTTCAAAAAATAAAAAAATTTTTTTTACCTTTTAGGACCACAGGTTTGTATTGAGATAACAGTTGAATATATACTAACTATAATTTTTCTCAAGGCCAAGAAGTGGTTTTGAAAAAGAAGTAATTTATTATTTCTTATAATCACACTTAGAGAGTTATATAACTTATTAATAAATGTTCTGTATTAGACACAGTTTAGCTCTAGTATATAGCCTTAGAGTTCAATATATTATTGTAATATTTCTTTTGAAAATTAATAAACATAACAAATGTAGTCTGATTGAAAGAAAAAAATAATAATAATAATTAATTTTTAAGTAAATAAATATCATTTTTTTATTTATTCATATATTATAAAAATATATATTTAAATAGAAATATCTTTTAATTTTTATTAGAAAAAAAATTTAAAACCAATATATTAATTAAATAATATCAAACAATTATAAATACTTATTTAAAATTACTATATAAAATATTATTATAATAATTAGAGATAAGATTAACAAAGTTGAAATTGCTTTGGATTAATATTTTTGTAAATAATGTGGGAATATTAATTGTTGTATCATTAAAAAAAAAAGTTAAGCTAATATTATAATAAAAAAATATATTGATTTTTAATATATTAATATTATAATTATTGTTATTATTATTGTTGTTTTTGTTGTTTTTTGCTTTTAATCTTTTATTTCACTTGATATCAATGGATAGTAAAGTATTTATTACTACAATTTTGTTAAAAATATTCAATTAAATTATATGAATAAAAAAATTATTAATTGATATTATATTAAATTTTTTTTTTATGTTATAATTTTTTTTTGTCAAATGTTATAATTTTTTTATTGTCAAATGTTTTTAATTATCAATATTTTTTTTAATTATTAAATAAATACATACTGTATATATTTTATTAATATTAAATTATGATATTTTTTTAAAATATCAAGTGATATAAATTGAATCAAACAATAAAACTTTGATATAAAATTTATTAATAAAATATATTTAGTTGGTTGCAATTTAACAATTGAATAATTATGATTTGAACTAATAAAAGTTAAAAAAAAATTTATATTTATGCTATTTTTTATTAAAAAACTTTATAATGTTTCAAATATAATAATTTTTTAATATTTGATATTATTAAAAATTAAATATATCCAATTTTATAAGTGTTATATATTAAATAAATACTATACAAAAAATTTTAAAAAAGATAATATTTTAATTACAAAAAACATTGTTGGTTTTTTGCCAATACAGTAATTATAGGATTCAATAAAAATCAACTATATAATAAATAATGTTTAAATATACACTACATATTGTAGTTAGCAATATAAGCAAGTTACTGTATATTAAATTATAGACTTCATTATTTACAGTATATTTTTAATAAAAAAAAAATCATAATTAATTCATGATATGAAGTTTATTTATGCATTGTATAAAAAATATCACAAATATTGTATAGCATGTATTTTGATCTTATACAGTTATTAATGATTGAAATATTTAAACTTATTCAACTTCAAAATCAAGTTAAATGAGTCAAAAATTCTAATTTTGAAAATTTATAAATTATTTCAACAATTAAATAATCTAATATATGTAAACCTCAACCGAACTTGACACCTGCACAAACCCATAGGCTGAATAATGTACCACGAAAGAATTATAAAAATACTTGAAGTGTACCAGTTATGTTATAAATACCAAAAATTATTAAGTGAAGGTTAATGTTGTTATAAGATACAGATCGATAAGAGCAATTCTGTCGAATACATCTTGGTTAGATTGAACTGAGAATAAAGATAAATTTATAAGTCTATCGATAAGGAGTAAAATAGTGATAATCATAGAGTCCATTTTACATCCCTCAAAACATTGATATTATACATTATAGAAAGATACACGAAACTTAATTAAACGATAACCCGAGTAAATCATCTATTACCGGTCCTGATACAAAATAAAAAAAAAGCGTCAATAATAAGATAACAAATGAAAGAAAGTGGTTTGCCATACCCTTTTTCCCTTGTTCATTGTTGGGAACACTCGTAATGCCAATTAAATCGTCGGAAATTTTAATTTGTCCTTGTCCTTGTGGTTGTTCGTCATCTCCCAAATCAATTAACCAGGATTCCGACGCACTATTCCTAGTAAACAAAATTTATTCGTTGTAAGATAATCAATAATCAATAACTATTTGAAAGCCAAACTTATTTCAAAATCATTACGTTGATGGTGGTGGCGGTGGAGGCGATAGTTCTGTTTCTTTAAATATTCCATTTGAGATGTCTTCGTACTTCTTCAGCACCGTATTGATCAAGTCGTTTAGATTCAATAAACGTTCTGCGAAATTCAAGAAGTTTACAAATCACGTTTATTACAAATGAATATGCTAATGTATGTAAAAAATCTACGCACCAATGCTTTCCGAATCATCTTCTTCAGAAATAAATTTCTGAATTTTGGGTTGAACGACTTTACAAGATTGCACCAAATCCTGTTAATAATATCATATTTAATAATTGAACGGTGATTTTTCCTCATTTTCACAAGACTAATACTTACCTCAAATACATCACCATTTCCAATATTTTCACCAGGTTTAACATTGTTTAGCATTTCTTTTAAGAGGATTGTTTTCCTTTGAACACGCTCCAATTCTTCATTAACCTGCTTTTTATAATCTGGTTTTTGTTCCGGATCCTGAGGGGCAGGCATTTAAATTAAGATCAATCGAACAAAGTCAATTAATAAGAAAATCATTTAAAAGTAGATATTTACATAGCCAGCCATAACTTTCATAAGTTCATTCGCTTCTTCTAGATCCGCAGGCGTACCTCTACGGATCAATTCTTGTAGTTTCTTTTTTTACGCGATTTTGAATTTAAACCGCAATTTATCAAAATAAGTAAAAAAAAAAAAAATAAATAAATAAACGTACATTAGAGATAGAATAATTAAACCGCAGACGAACACAAATACTTTGAACTTACCGCTGCTTGCGCAGCACGGTCCTCTTCTTCCAATTCATCGGGAGATTTCAACGTCTGAAGTATGAAAAAATATTGGTTGTTTAAATTTACGCGAAAAATGGATACTCGATAACGCTTATCAGACTTCGGACCTCTGTTGGATGCAGGACCGCCGCTGATTGACCATCCAGTTCAGGGAACATGTACCCTATAATTCGCGCGTGCTAGTTAGCATATAACGTTGGCCGATATCCAATACGCGATGTTTTGTACCTTTATAAAGAAGCAGTCGATACATATCATCAATATGATGTAAATCATCCTTGTGACGCGAAGTCGCACAAATAGTAGATTTCCACTCGAGAATAAATTCCAATATTCTCAATTGTATTGGATTAGGGATTGCCTATTTAACAAATGTTATAAGTTATACCAATCATATGGCTGATTATTGAAATTCTTACTGGTGGCTTCTCGGGGAAACTCTTTACGAGTTCATTTAAAAATTCCGTGGTAGCTATCTGCAAATGAAATGGATAACCACAGTTTTTGACACAAATATCTAAAAGCTTTTTATTTTTTTTTGTTTTTAGAGAAAAAGGGAATAGTCGTTTTTTTAATCATGAGATCCAAAGAATTCAGAATACCGTCAATGCCGATAAGCCAACAGTTGGGTTGCGATGATTTACAAGCTTTACGATATGAAATGCAGCATCGCGCGGGCTTAATTACACATAAGTTATTTTAATCAGGTATAGTTAATATGTGTTTATTATAAAAACAAAAAAATTTCTCGAGGAAACATACTAATTTTGCTTTTTTTGATTAATTAAATCCGCGATCTCCAAGTCTAGCGCCAAATCAGGTTCTCTTAGTTGAGGGTTGCACGCTCTCTCTGAGAATTATGGGTAAGATAACACGCGACTTATGGTTAACTTCGAGCAAACCATAAAGGATAAAAAGCCGCAACTACCTATCATAACTTGTATGGTTGGTTTGGGCAACACCGAAGAAGGTATCTGGTTTTTTATTTAAGAAACAAATTAAAAAAAGAAAAAAGAACGAAGTGGTTCTACTTTCTTTTTTTAAAAAAAAGGATTGAGCTTACCTGAAGCGTTCCGAAATTCATGTCTGCGTCCTCGAGAAAGGAAATTAAACTAAGGAGTGTGGATTTTATAAAAATCACCACGATTTTACAATGGCCAATAGGAATTTACCAAATTAACCAACCAATAAATGCTACTCAATAAAGCTATTACATCTCATCACAACCTCGGTTAAGACATTTCATTTGAAGTTCACCTTTAAACATTATGATATCTTTCTCTTTTCAAGTTGACTTTCCATAACGTTGACAACATTGTCACTCATTATACTATGTCACCACTGTAGTCAATTTGCAATTTTGCGTATCGAAGTGCCAATAGCAGGCAAAATAAGCTAAAAGCCCGAGACAAAGTAACAAGAATTGAAAGCCACTCAATCAATTTGTTTTCAAAACAATGTTTTGAGTTGTTGATCGGGCTTGGTGAGTTTACTATTGTTCACCAAAGTCAATGTCACGAGTCTATTAAATACAGTATTTCATCAATTTAATGTCTATAAAAGTGTTGAATTCGCATTTAATTATGGCAAGAACAAAGAGAGAAAATACGTGAAAATCATAGTCTAAATAAACAGTTAAACGATTGCTTAAACTGGAATGTTGAATAGTTCTGCTGTTAAACTTCAAGAATAGAAACGTCACATACAACTAAAGAAACTCAGGACGTACAGTCTGTCTTTATAAAGTCCTTCTCCTAGTCCCTGGTAACAATTTTCTAAAATATTTCAAGGGGTTCAAGTAACTTACCAATTCAATTAATGTTAGTAAGTAGTTATAGAGACGATAAAAGCAATAAATATTATTTTTTGAAGTCACTTTATTACCTGAAAAGATTACTATTTTCATATTCAGAATTCTCATCATCATCATCATCATCATCATCATCATCATCATCATCATCGTCATTCTCGTCTCCATTATCATCAATATCGTCACCTTCATCCTCATCTGATCTTTTTCTTTTACCCAACTTACTTTCGACGCTTGTCGAAGTCGATTGTTCGATGTTTGGATAGATTGACAATTTTTCACTATCCGAAAGTTCGACAGCCAAATTTGATGGTAACGATTCTGAACGTTCGGAGGTAGTCATTATCTGATGTGGCAATTTTTCCGTGGACATTTCTGATGATAATACTTCCATATGAGGCTCAGGTTCTGTAGTAAACATTTCTGATTGTGATGTTTCCATAGGAGGTTCAAGTTCACTAGAATTTTCTGGTAATGATATTTTCATAGGTTCAATAGACATTTCTGATTGTAATTTTTCATTGGGAGGTTCGGGTTCAGCAGACATTTCTATTGCTGATGTTTCCATGGAAGGACCAGCAGACATCTTCAATTGTGACATTTCCTTAGAAGGTTCAACAGACATCTTCATTTGTGACGTTTCCCCAGAAGGTTCAACAGACATCTTCATTTGTGACGTTTCCCTAGAAATCTTCAATTGCGACGTTTCCCTAGAAGGTCCAACAGAAATCTTTGATGGCGATGACGGTGAGGAAGAAGATGATAGATCAATATGCATGTGTGATGATACTCTACTAACGTCCTCGATTGATAGAATGTTCGGGGAACAGTAATCCTCGGAATTATCATCGGCTTGATTATCCTGAAGTACTTGAATGTGTCGTGACGGTGAAATGACACCTGTTTCTTCTCTAGGTAACTATGACAGTAAGACAATCGCCAGCGGTAAATTAAGCAAATATAATACTTCAAGTATATATGAGCACGCGTTTTCAACCTTTCCAGATGATCCTCTATTCTCAGCCGATTTACTTGAACTCGACACGACATTTTCTGAAATCGGTGGTGTACTTTCCACTGTTCTTACCCGACTCGAAATTACTTCCATTCTATCACCACCGTCCTCTGATGTAAAGTTGTAATCATTATTATCAGAATTAAAGCAACTTCTCGCATAATAATTTGTAGATTTCGCCGGACACCTTTGCTTTTTCCAGCATCAGACACATTCGTTCTAAACTCAAGGTGATTATGAAAATGTACGTCGTGGACCATCATAATTAACTCCATGAAGAATAAAGATGCCCTACCCTGTAATTCCCTGATCAGTGTGAATTTCCAATAGAAAGGTGTATTTATATCGGTGTGCTCTAAGGCGTCTTCCATTTTTCATGAAAACATACTTATATCCAATTTTCCAATCCCTTTTCTCTTTTATGTAAGAGTAATGAGATATCTATTTCAACGCAATAAAAATGAATGAAATGTGAAAGGTATATACTGCAAAGTAAGTAAAATCCTTGACCGTCCACTATCTGATCATCGTCTCTTAACCTGACGAATGCTATTATAATGTTCTAAAATGAAAATTAACGAGTCATGAATTGTTTGACGGAAGACTTATCACTTGGTCTCTTGACGAATAACCTTTATTTCATCTTTTATCTGTGGATTATCATTATAAACAGATGTGGTAGAACTATCATTTCGATGGAAAAGATTTGTGTCAATGATTCGCAAATAATCATCTCTGAAAGAAAATTCGTGTTTGTCTCAACCTATTATTTGAGAATAGGGATATCTGAACAACCTCGTCGGATACAACCAAAAGACGTGTTTTATCGAGCGAGAAAGGTGGTAATTCCATTATCACAAAAATTAGATGACACCTTATAAAAAAACAATTGATAAAGGGAAAAAGTGTCGCGAAAGAAACTTTGTTTTCTTGTGTATACTTATAAGATTCGTTTATTGATCCGCGTAGTCTTGGAATTTGATTGGCTGATATACTAATTAGTCAAGAAATAATTTTTTTAAAAAACATGTTTTTCCTCGCACATCTCACCCAGTAAAAATTTGTTTTTCATTAAAACGCGTATCTTAAGCACCAAAGCAATGCAAAACGAGTATTCAATAGTTCATGAATAGAGGTTACATTCTCCTTCTCCTCGAAGTGGGTTCACTTCACCCGAGGCGCGGGAAGTTAAGAACACTTTTTATTTTGATCACGTGAATACTACCGGGTATAATGTGTTTCGTGGATTTACCTTATTTGAATCAAAAACATGATAAGCTGTATTGTGCAAACCCTAGTATTCATAATCACGTGAGAATACAACAGGTCGTAGAATCGCCCCGGACTCGATCTGCGCCACCAACCCGCAAAAAAAAAACAATTGTGGCCTTATATTAATCTATTTCGTAATTCACGTGACCATGAGAATTATTCAAATAAGGTTCGTGCCCTACTAAGTAATGATTCGTCTTTTTTGTTTTAGATTAAGTAATATTTAATTTACCCTTTGTTTCCTGTTCTTTACAAAAATCTTTTATCACGTGATTCATGATGAATAACGCGAATATTGCAAAGAAATCTTTGTGAATTTCATCACATGATTTATCAATATAACGCGAAAAGTCTACCTGCGGAGCTCGTATTTCTTTAATATTAATCTATTCTCGAATAAATATACAATGAAAGATTATAATGTATTGTTGGATATTTTTTCTTTTCTCGATAACCTTGGCATAATAAAAAGGTTAAAATTGCTGTTAACTTTCGACAACAAGCTTTCAAACAGAATCACGAAACGTTGAGCTAGAATCCACTTCGATGTAAAGAGTTGATAAACTTTTGCATACTTTTGCACACATATGGTTTCTTTAGCATGCACATATCGTAATTCAATTACGTCATTCAAGCTATTAAGTCATCCACGCGTCTAAAGTGGGAACACTTTTTAGTTAGCGAATTTTTAATAAATTGAACCTTTGACTCTTCGTCCCTTCGAATAAAATATTTCTCCTCTTCTTTTCTTTCTTTCTTTTTTTTTTTTCTGAGACAAACTTTTTCAGGTTTATCTTGTCTTCTTTATTCTTTCAAACCGTACCTGCCTTACGCCCGTCGGCTTGACAAGAAAAAAAGACGTAAGTTCTTGAGGAGTGATAAATATGTTTAAACTACGTGTTTTTTATTGGATAACGTTTCTAAAGAAGAAATCATCTTATCAAGATATCTGCTCTATGCCTCAAGAGTCAAACACTTCACAGTGTCAAATCCTCGCAACCGTTTCCAGTTCATCGGTTACGGCTACACCGGATAGGAAGAATATCGCCGAGGCTTTTGACAAGACGCTTGAAAAGATAACTAACAAAATCAATGAAGGTAACTCGTATCCGTTCGCCTCTTGATTCCGCTTCAATTTTTCACCTTTTGTTTCCCATCATTTTCGCCTTTCTCAGTGTCTCTTGATACGACCCCTGCCGGAAAACAATTGCCTCAAAATAACAGTTTGAAGATCAGCCCCACCGATTCAGAAAGATCGGAATCGTCGGGTCACTCCGGCGAATCGAGCGGTCAAACCAGTTCTACTTCTATTTCCGAAGATTTTTATGAAAGCAAGGTATCCGGAAGATCAACCTTCGATGAAAAGTCACTTTACATTAGAGGTCAACTCGTAGTGGGTACATGTAATAAAGTAAGTTCGAATCCAATGCTCTTTTGCAAATCTGGCCAAATAACGAAATTATGATCTGATTCCTCTACAACGATTTCAGTTGAAAGTGTTGGAAGAAAAGCCTGAATCGGACCTTACAGCACCAAGTTCTCCAGTAAATTCTGCTTTTGACAGATTCGCGTCTGTTAGCTCGTCACAACGGCAAACATTCTCAGCTCAACAAAAAATAGCGTTGCCGGGTACAATGAAACCATCATCTTCTCGAATTATTTCTACGCAAGAAAAAGTCATTCAAGAGTGCATCACCCCAAAAACTTCGTCGCGGATTCGCTGCGTTGCATGCATCCATGGAAATATCTTACTAAGTCCCTGTGGTCATAGGTGTCGGTCATAAATGTTTTCTTTTTGTTCTTGTTCTGTTATCAACACGTAATTTTTATGTCCAATTCAATTCATTCCTAAGAATGTGTGAACCGTGCGTCCACGATTTGCGTACAAACACCGTCAAGAGCTCGTGCAAAACGTATTCCGAATGTATATTCTGCGAAACGGTAACGATTAACACGCGCGAACCTTTTATTAAAAATAAAAGCATTATATTTAATTACTGTGATTGTTTACACATCAGCCGGTTGCGGAATTCAAGAAGATTGTTCAAATGGGAATTTATCCTACGGTACCAAAACACAACGAAAGAACTCTAGCTTCAGAGCATCCAGAAGAAACTGCTGCCCGTACACTTTCCTTGGCTTTTCCCGGTATGACACAGACGACGACACGACCGGTTCAACCCATGACTGCCATCGCTAATAGGCCTCAACAGGTTCAATTCGGTGAACTCAGCAAATTGGCAGTTGCACACAATTGGCCTGTGGTGAAACTTACTAATGTACAAAAAAGGTTTCCTGAATTAACTTTCTATCTATATGATCTTATGCTAATTCATCTTATTTGAAGATCCCGTGGGATGTTTCACTAAAAGAGATCAAGGCATTCTTTTCGGCTTTCAAGTTGCCAAATGCATCGTTATATGCGCAATGTATTCATATTATCATGGATAGGTAAGATAAAATTGCTTTTATTGCGATACATGTTTACCACACAAATTTAAATACGTTTTCCTATATATTTATTTAACAGAACAACAGGGAAAACTCTCTCTGAAGCCTATGTTGAATTGGCGACGCTTGCGGACGCACATCGCGCGGTCGATACACGTAATATGAAGCCATTGAAAGGACGGCTTGTATCATGTATGCGATCATCTCAGGAAGATTTGATGAGAGCGATATTTCCGAAGTGGAAAGGTGAATTTTCTGGATGCGACGCCGTTGTTACTGCCGATGTGTTACAGTCGTCTCCTACCGTTCCACACGTCCCTTATATCACCAGAGAGGAAATGAACTCACTTCTGGTCGTTTGTCGCAATTATAAGGTTAGTGGAAAAAGTATTTAACCTCATTATTTAAAATCCATGTAAAACATCGTCAACACAAATCAAACAGCTACATTTTTCTCGTAAATGCGCGGAGCGTCCATTCGAAAATATTATCAGTGTTCTCGTAAAGGTATACCCGATCGTCATAAGATTTTTAACTTCCAAGAAACATTGGGTCTAACTTTAAACTTTCAAAGTTTCCCTTCCATCAAGGAGATCTTTATACTACTTTGCAACGCGATCTTTTATTCGAGATGTTGAAGCGTAAGTTTTGCAAAGTTTTCGATTAACTCGAAACAAGGTGTTGTTATTAACCATTTGAACGTTAAATTTCATTAGTTGCCATCGAGTCGCTTAAAATTCACCTGAGCAAGGACTATCATCGCATCGACGAGACGCTGTTGGAGCGAATGGTAACACGTGTGAATGATATTTTTACTTGAGCGTTTTTTCTTTTTATCTGTTGATTAACTTCGACGATATCAAAATATCAAGATGCGCGCCGGTATTATGACACCAGTATTTACCGAACGGCAGAAACTAATGATACTTCAGGTGTCTGGCATGGCGCTTCCCGAAGATTTACAAGATCGCTTATCTCCCTTCAAGAAAGACGACGACGAAATGGATCATGACCCAGAAATAAATAACCAGGTAAGTTAGCAAAAACATTGTAATTTTTCACGAATCTCTCTTTCTCAAGTCGATACACTTCCCTGATCCAAAGGTTAATTCGACTCCTGATGCCACACGGCCTAGTGGATCTAGTGATACAAGTCTTCTTCCTACGAATCTCCTTAGTTCACCCCATGCTGAATTTGTGGAGTACAAAGGTCATTTCAATCCTTTCCGAGACGATCATGAAGCGAAGGCAAATTTCCTTCATAATGAATGTACGATACGATTTGCAAATTCTCTTCCTAATCTGAGAACCATTCACAACCTGACGCAATTTTTTCTCTAGTAAAATTGGCACAATCTCAAGTCAGAGCTGCCACTGCCACTGTCACTTCACGCGTTCCTATCACTCCTCCACGACCGCAACTTGGTACTTTCCAGGCGTTCGACGTGTGGAACCGTCTGAACGAGCGTCGAAATGCGGAGTTTGGAAGGTTCTAACGTATACAAATTATTGTGGTTGTCATATTTCTAAATGTTCTTAAGCTGATTAGTTCGTGAAAATTTATACTCTGCAGAGCGAACGCCAGGCCACAAAACCTCACGCCACAATCATCTCATCGGCAGCATAATTTACCTAATCTTTCTTACTTTGATAAAGGAAATAATCCTTTCTTTATTAAAGATTTTTAAAAGTCGAAGTGTATCATTTATTTAAAGGCCTTTTTTCTCATGAATTTCTTAATCCCTTTGCGTTTGTTTTCCGGCTTTTTTTACATCGATATTTACTAAATCTGTACATTTTATCAGCAATTATATTGTATATATTCTTCCTTAGAAAAGGAATTGTAAAAAAAGCCATGAGGATATACCCGTAGAAATTCGTTATTTGCAAGCCACTAATTAGTTTCTTTTTTACGTTGGATTTTCACCTGTTAAAAATTTCAAATCATTCGGTAGATCAGTGCAACTTTAATATTAGGAAGGTTGTAGACATGGCTTATGTTTTAATCTTGAATTGTGGCTTATTTCTAACTTCGATAAATTAATGATATAGCCACATTGTTTAATATTAATGTTTAAAATCATGGAGTGTGAAAAAATATTCATGCTGAAGTCTAGGACTGCTAAAAAAATTTTTAGTAGCCTGACAATGCGATTTCATTATTGAATCTATCAATAATCTTATTAAGATTATATACTAAGAATTAATAAACAAATTAACTAATTTAAGGGTAAAATGTATATACGTATATTATGGAGTCTACCATATCAATTTTGGAATATAGGCTTTTTATTGAAGTTAAACAAAAAGTCTTATCTCACGCAATCTTTTCTGCTTTAATTTGATTTCAACTTATAATTGTTAGAAAAATCAGAGATTCCATCTTTATACAGCTTAATTAAATTGAATTTTTTCTTTGGCTGATTAAGTATGATATATATAGGAAGCCAGTCAATTTATATATAAAGAATTTTATATATTATTTTTATCTTTTGTGAATATTGAATTAGAAATATGTATTTGAAGACCTGGAAGTTTTACTCATTATATTATTAACTAAGGATTCTAATAATTCAATTTGATTTATTTTCAATTTTCAGATTTATATTAAATTTAATATATAGGTTATAACATATTATTATTTTTAATAGTATTTCAAACTTTATGCAAGTTTATGTGAGTCTGTTTAATTTCAATTTTTGGAACTATACTATTTATTAACTCGCAGGTTTTTATATTTAAAATTATTAAATTTATTTATAGATAATTTTTTATTAATAATATTTGGATTAATAATAAAAAATAATGCAATAATGTATATAACAAATAAAGAAATATATTATAGATATGTAATAATTTATAATTACTTATAAAATTATAAAATATGCTATATACTTATAGATTATTTTTATTAAGTTTTAATAATTTTACAAATTAGTGAAATATTTTAAAAAGATTCATTGAATTAAAATTAAAATCAATATAATAATATAATTTTATATCTGAAAAAATATCATATAAATAAATATATATATTTATTTAATTAATTAAAATATATACTGTAATATAAAACTCTTTCACTAATTCTCTTACCAATTTAAAAAATAAACATTTTAAAATAATTTTATATTTTTTTTATAACAGTCTATATACTTTCTTTAATAATATTACTATCTAAAAATTCAAATCTTTTTCTACTTATTTTTTTTTTCTTTAAAATAAACTTCTTGTATTTTTACAAATAAATATAAGAAAAATCCATCTATAAAATCAAAGGAAAGAACATTTTGCTAGAAAAGAATTTATAAAAACAATTTTCTTCTTTTTTCTTTTAAAAATTCAAGATTCTAAAAAAAATAATTATAGATTTCTGAAATTTTCTTTCATTTTCTTCAAGCCTTCTATTTATCTTTTTAAGTATATAAACTTTTTTTTAATTTTTTTGAAGAATTTTATCTATTTTATATTGATATTGAATTTTTGATTATATCAAAATTTCTAAATAATAATTGATTTGAAATTTGAATTAGCTTATTTATATATAACAAGAAATATAACAATACATGTAAATTTTATGTATTCTATCTTATATAACTTTTATTTAATAATGTAATTAACTATAACAGAAAAAACAAGATAATATAATATACTTTTTAGTAAAAGAAATGTTTTGATACTTTTTTTTTCTTCTCTTAAATTGGTTTTATTTTTTTTTTAAAATTAAAAAAAAATTTTTATTTCAATCTAGTAATAAGTTAATTCTATTATTAATTATCTTGAAAATGATTAAAGAAAAAAATTTTGAAACTATCTATTGGTTTAATAAAATTATAATTCCTTGAAAAACTAGTTGAAAGAAAAATTATTAAACAATATATTAATTCTTTCTAAAAATCAAAAGTTTTTAAATATAAAGTTTCAAGAAATATTTTTTTGAAAGTATCCTTATATATTTTTAATTAACAATTAAAATAGTAAAAATTGAATAAATATCTAATTACAAATAATTAAACTAAATACTGTTTAAGAAAAGTTTTTGTTTTATTAATATAAACTTTTCTTTTTCTTTTTTTTTTTACTTTATTTTTCTTTAAAAAATAAAATTTTTTACTTCTATAAGATTACAGCAGTTATATAGGAATAATATTTTTGAATAAGGACTAATTATAATTAAAAATAGATTTCTAAACAGATAATAACAATTTATTACCTGTTTCGATTATAAAATTTTTATAATCTAAATTAATCTACATATAACCTAAACCAGGTGACATTTAATATCATATGGTTTAAAGATCCATTTTTAGCTATAATATTTTAGACTTGTAAAAAGTTCCAGAATAAAATTAAGCAATTTTTTTTATTTTCTATAATCATATCTAGAAATCTTAAGCTTATAATAGATATATTGCATAGTATTAATAAATTTGGTTTTATTATAATATTTCTAAATATAATGTATATGTGTTTTTTATATAAAATTAAGAAATATAATAAACATGTAACCTGATTTGAAATAATAAAATAATAATAATAATATAGCAAATATAGAAGCAATTCATAATATTATTCTTATAATATCTTGTTTTAATAAAAAAAATAAATTTTTAATTAATAAATTTTTTTAAAAAACTTTAAATATAAATACTTTTATAAACTATTAAAAAAGTAAATAAAATTAATAAAATTATATTTAATTTATTTATATAAAAAAAATTTTTTTTTTTTTCCCGTAGTCAAACAAGTATGTACTGTTTATTAAATCTATACAGAAAACAAATAATGTATAATACATTGTATTGCATAAAC